TGGACTGGAGCAGGCTGCAAAGAAAGGCAGTCTTCATGGCCTTTCCTCAGAGGCCAGGGCTTTCCCCCCAACCTACTGGCCCCACACACACACACACACACACACACACACACACACAGTTCCCAGCTTCAACCCCACTGACGTGGAACTGGACACCCCAATCAGGACCAAGGGAGAGAGTGACAGGGATGAAGACAACGTCTCCAGGAGTCTCCCTGCACAATCTCTGCCCTATGACAGACAGAGGCCACCCCGGCCACAACTGGCCACGTCTGCTAACACCCTGCCCCCGAGGCTCCCTCCCGCTCTAGAAGCAGCAGTTATGGACCAACAGGAGGGAGCGGAGGGGTCTCCACAGAACAAGGGCCTTCAGTGCAGGGACTCAGATGCATTGTAACACGATGAGACCCCCGAAGTGTGAATGAATACCACCCCCACCCCATCAAGTGAGTCCTGCTCAGCCACACCGCCAGCCAGAGTCTATACCAGCTCACTTCCTGTTACGGGGGCAGCCCGGCTCCAGGACCCCCACTCCACAACACAACAGCTAGAGCCAGATGGAGACGTGAAGTAGACTCCCACCAGCCCCGGGGGCAGACCCCGGCCCCACACCACCGGCTGTCCCCCCAGCAGCACTCCACACAAACCACCGTCTGGACCCCTCAGTCAGTGAGAAAAAAAAGCCTGGGATGGGCTGAAATGTAACTCACGTGCCGTGCAGCAGGGGGTCAAAAGGGGGGTGTTGGGCCCCATACACGTGCTGGATGCTGTGGAAGGAGAGACAGACGTCAGCACCTCCTGGGCTCCTCCCAGTGCCCTCCAACTGAGGGCACATGTCCACCGCTGTCCACTGCCCACCACCACGCTACAGCCAGGTACCCACTGACTCCGCAAGACCCTCCAACTGAGGGCACATGCCCACCACTGCCTGCTGCCCCCCCACTACAACACAGCCCAGGTGCCCACTGACTCCACAAGACCCTCCAACTGAGGGCACATGCCCACCACTGACCACTGTCCCCACCACGCCACAGCCAGGTGCCCACTGACTCTGAGAGACCCTCCAACTGAAGGGACATGCCCACCACTACCCGCTGTCCCCCACCACACCACAGCCCAAGTGCCCACTGACTCCGAGAGACCCTCCTGACTGGGGAGTGTCTCTCCACCGCTGACAGGCCCCAGGACGCCTGCCATACACACAGAGCCCACAGGCTGGGCACCTGAGAACACAGATGGCCACCATAATCCAGGGGTCAGCACCCTCAGCAACAAATATGGCCTTGCTCACGGTCCACAGCTCATGGACATGAACTGAAACAATGAAACGCCCATCAGGATGACAAACAATAACACACTCGACAACTAGTTCAAAGTTTGGCTCTTCAAGCCCACTCAGAGGCGTCTCAGAGGAGAGACGTGTCAAACTGCTTCTGAGCATCCCAGAACACCCTCGGGAGCAGGTCTCCTCTGCAAAAGGAGGGGCGCCAGGAGGTGGAGTTGACCTCACAGTTGCTGAATCACAGCCTTTTAGTCTAAAGAGAGGATGCAGAAGAAGAAAACCATAATTTCTTTCCAAGTTTTTAATAGTTTTGCTAAAAGAGAATTCTGTTCATCAAAGTAAATTTGGAAAACAGGCAAAAATGACCCACGTGACCAACACTGAATTCAGTTCTTCCTGCCCGGGGTGGTCCCATGACCTCACTCAAACCAGAGAGAAAGTACTGGAAGTTTCTGCCCTAATGAAAGAGCAGCCAAGTGAGCACCTCAGTCCTCAGCTGTCCCTTCTCCTATCGCAGAACACTGGGTTGAGGCCTCAAGGGTGTCCACCACCTTGTCACCATTAGAGGGCGGAAAGCTAAGGGAGGGAAGCCGGTCTCCCAGGGCTCTGTGAGCTTCCCTGCCATCCCCACTGCCATCAGTATCAAATCAGCAAGACTACTGTCAGAAAACCTAGAGGCAGCACTCACGTTGGCAGAAAGGGTTGGTTACACAGGGCCTTGGAGAGAGAGAGAGAGTTGTGTGTGTGTGTGAGCGCACGCCTCTGAGTGAGGAGGGCAGCCGTGGACACCATTCAGAGCAGTTCGCCTCTGGTCTACAGAGTCAGTGTGAGTCGGAATGGGCTGAGGCAGCAGGTGGATTTATTTTCCTACCATAAATCGAAGCCCCTAACAACACTGTCCCATATGATTACTCTTCTCTGTCAATTGGCTCAAGTTTATTCATTTACTTTACATACACACAGATCGTATCAATTACAAGTTTATTCATTTACTTTACATACACTTTGTTGTTGTTGTTGTTGTTAGGTGCCATCAAGTCC